TCCTGGTATAAATCCCATATCATCATGTTGTATAATCTTTTTAATGCATTGTTGGATTCAGTTTGCATTTTTTTATGCATACAAGAACTGGGGTACAGGCCAGAGGTGTGAGGGGTTGAGAGTATTCACCAGAGACAAAGTGGGGAACAGAACAGGCAGATTGAATGAAATACACTGCTGAGGGGAGCAGTGGGTGAGATAGGAGAGGTCTGCTGCACATGTGAGTAGCTCCCTGGCCAGCCGGGGATCGAACTTCTGCCACAGTGGCTGCGCATAGCTTCATAGTTTGCATCTTAACCCCTTGTGCCACCAGGGAGGCCCAGTTTGCTTAGATTTTATTGAGGATTATGGTGTCTGTTCATTAGGGAATTATGTCTGTGGTTTTCTTTCTTTCTGGTGCCGTTGTTTGATTTTGGTATAGTGTTATATTGTCTTCATAAAATGTGTTTGGAAGAATTCCTTCTTTCTTGATTTTTGGGAAAAGGCTGAGCAGGATAAGTATTACTTCATTTGTAAATGTTTGGTAGAACTCATGTGAAAGAATATGGTTCTGGCCTTTTGTATTTTGGCAAAGTTTTGATTACTGTTTCAGTTTCCTCACTTGTGCTTGGTTTTTTCAGATTTTCTATTTCTTCCCTATTCAGTCTTGGATGATTGTACAATTCTGGGAATCTATCTGTTATTTCTAGGTTGTTGCATTTGTTTACATGTAAATCTTTTTTTTTTTTTAAAGATTTTATTTATGTATTTATACAAGCACTGGGTACAGTCAGAAGCTCAGGAGGGTGAGAGAATTCACCAGAGCCAGAGTGGGGAACAGAACAGGCAGATCCACAAAATACACTGCTGAGGGGAGCAGCAGGTGCGGCAGGAGAAGTGGGACCCTCGCCAGTGGCCAGGGATCGAACCAGCGCTGCAGAAGCTGCGGGTAGCTTTGCAGCCCAGCTCTCAACTGCTGTGCCACTGGGGAGGCCCTAAATGTAAATCTTTCTAGTAATCTCTAAATTTCTGTAGTGTATCATAACTTCTCTTTCATTCTGGATCCTATTTGTTTCCTCCCTCTTTTTTTTAGTGAGTATAGCTATAGCTTTGTCTATTTTTCTTGTTTTTCTAAGAATTATCCTTTTGTTTTATTGATCTTTGGGCTACTTTTTTTTATTTTTAGTTCATTTATTTCTGCTCTAATTTTTATTATGTGCAATTTTGTATTGGCTTTTAGATTTTTTTTTTGTTATTGTTTTTTAGTTCCTTGAGATTAAAGACAAGGTTATTTGTTTGGGCTCTTTCTAGTTTATTACTGTGTATCTATATTGCTGTATAATTCCTTCTTAAAACAGCTTTTGCTATGTACCATACATTCTGAAAGGTTGTATAGTTTGCCTTGAGGTATTTTTTGATTTCTTCATTAACCCAGTGATCATTCAGTAGTTTATTGTTCAGTATCATGTATTAAACATTTCCTTATTTTCTTTTTGTAGCTGATTTGTAGTTCAGTACTGTTATGTTCAAAGAAGGTACGTCGTATGATTTCTCTCTTCATCGATTTGTAAATATTTGTATTTGGTCAATCCTGGAGAATCACCCATGTGCACTTCAGAAAAATGTGTATTAAGCTTTTTTTTTTTAAGATTTATTTATTTATTTATTTATACAAGCACTGGGTACAGTCAGAAGTGTGGGAGGGTGAGAGAATTCACCAGAGCCAGAGCAGGGAACAGAACAGGCAGACTGATGAAATACACTGCTGAGGGGAGCAGCGGGTGCGGCAGGAGGGGTCTGTCGTGCCATGTGGGACACTCGCTGGTGGCCAGGTATCAAACTGGTGCTGCAGAGGCTGCGGGCAGCTTCACAGCCCAGCGCTCAAATGCTGCGCTACCAGGGGAGGCCCACTAAGCTTCTTTTATGTGTAGTTTCCTGTAAATGTCTGTTAGAACCATGTGGTCTGGGTCTGTTATAGGTGATTATGCCCTTGTATATTTTCCATCTCATTGATCTAAACATTGGTGAGAGTGGGGTATTATGTCTGTTTTCAAATTTGATAATATCTGGTATATTTTGGTGCTCCTTCTTTTGATGAATATATATTTATGAGGGTTATATCCTACTGTTGTATTGTTTCCTTGATAATTGTATAGTATCCATATCTGTCTCTTGTTACCCCTTTAAGTTGAAAATCTATTTTGCCTGATGTATGTACGGCAGTTCCTGCCTTCCTTTGGGTGCCATTTGTTTGCAGGAATTTTTTCCATCCCTTTACTTTTAGTCTGTATTTATCCTTGTTACTTAGATATGTTTCCCAGATGCAGCAGAAGGTTGGATTCTGTTTCCTTATGCAACTGTATCTTCAGTGTCTTTTTATTAGCAAGTTTATTAGTCCATTGACATTTAGAGAGATTATTGACAGGTAAATATCTGTCACTACCGTTTTTCCCTAGGTTTCTGTTTCTATTTAACTCCTTATTCACTTATTTTTCTTTTCCCACTCTTTGGTTAAGATTCTAAATAACCCTTTTGTATTTCTTGGAGGGGTGGTTTAGTGGATGGAAACTCCATAACATTTTTTTCTGAGATGGTCCTTATCTCTCATATAGAAAAGGGAGATTTGCAGGATACAGTACTCCTGACTGGCATTTTTTTTTCTTGGAGTGTGTTGAATATGTCATTCATTCTCCTCTTGCCCACAGTGTTTATTCAGATAAATCCCACGTTAATCTAATTAGTGTTCCTTTGTAGGTTACCTATTTCTTCCACTTCAGCAGATTCATTATTTTTTCTTTGTCTTGGACTCCTAAGAGTTTTATGTGTCTTGCTGTAGTTTTCATTTTATAAACATAGCTGAGTGTTCATTTTGCCTCTTGTATTTCTATGTTCATTTCCTTCTTCAAGTTTAGAAATTTCTCCTTCACTATTTACCTTCGCTTATCTCCTTCTGGGATTTGTATGATTTTTTATATTTCCTTTCCTTATAGTGTTTGATAATTCTCAATGTGTTTCTTCATTCTTTTTCCTTTGTTTTTCTTTTTCTATCCTACTTCTTACCTTTTTTATCTCAATATTACTGATTTTTCTTCATTTGATTTATTCTACTTCCATGGTTTTCTCCTGAATTTTTTGCTTCTTCCTGCAATTCTGTTATTTTTTTGTTTAAAGTTTTAATTTTGACCTTCTGTTTGTTGATTGTGTTCCTCATAGTATTCATTTCCTTTTCTTTTTTTTCTTTTTTTAAAAATTATTTATTTATTTATTTATTTATACAAGATTGATTGATTGATTGATTTATACAAGCACTGGGTACAGTCAGAAGCACGGGAGGGTGAGAGAGTTCACCAGAGCCAGAGCAGGGAGCAGAGCAGGCAGAAGGACCGAAGTACACTGCTGAGGGGAGCAGTGGGCGGCAGGAGAGGTCTGCGCGCCATGTGGGACCCTCCTCCAGCAGCCGGGGAGCAGCCGGTGATCGAACTGGCGCTGCAGAGGCCGCGGGCAGCTTCACAACCCAGCGCTCAACCAATGCGCCACCAGGGAGGCCCTCATTTCCTTTTCTGAGTTTTATTTATATGGTTTTCATTCTTTTGTTTTCTAAATCATGGCCATCTTGAATTCTATGTCTGATAGGTATACTCTTCCATGCTTTTGTGGTTTGGTACTGGGGTTTTGTTTTCTCTGTGTGGTGTATTGTTGCCCTGTGTGCTTGCTTGACCATTTGTATTTTCTTTCTCCACATCGTTTCTTTTAGGTTTGCTCTGTTGTTGTTGAGACTTTTGTTCTATATGAGTCTTTGTCTCCTACTCTTCTGTGTGGTTACTTGATGATGGGCACACCTACTGGGGTCTCTTGCTATTCTTGGGATGGTGCTAAAGCCTCCCCGGTAGCCATTCTTGGCCTTGTTCTGGTGCCTGAGACAGTTGGCAGAACACACAATTGAGAGGCCAAGTAGACAGGACTTCACCCCATCTGTGTCTGTTTCTATGAGTGGGAGGGTGGAGCATTGCTGACTATCCCTGATATAGAATGATATCCTCTGTGGCTTTAAGTAAGGTGCTAGTCTGCTCCCAATGTGCAAGTGGCTTGTGCTGAGTTAGATGCACTTTCTGGCACCCTACTGTGAATAGGTAAGCTGGCAAGTCCCAATGAACTGTATTGTACATCTTATTCTGAGATGCTGGTGGCTGGGCCTGGAGTCAGGGGTGTTTATGGTGAGGTTGCTGAAGATCCCTAGTGTAGAGCAAGGCTTGTTGTGGCACAAGCTGGAGTGCTGGTCTGCTCTGAGGTACTGGTGGCTGAGTGCTGAGTGGAACGTATTTATATTTCCTGGGATCAGCAGGGGGCCTGCCATGACTAGGTAGGCCCTGAAAGGCCCAGACTGTGGCATATATCTGCTCCAGAGGTGCTGGAGACTGGAATTGGAGTCATGGGTGCTTTCTGCCTTTTTGTTTAAATAATTTTATTGTCCATAAATTTATATATTTTTATAAGATTTACTTATACAGCAATTGGGGTACAGTCAGAGGCGCAGGAGGGTGAGAGAATTCACCAGAGACAGAGCAGGGAATAGAACAGGCAGACAAACCGAAGACACTGCTGAGGGGAGCAGCGGGTGAGGCAGGAGAGGTCTGCCATACCATGTGAGTTGCTTCCTGGCCAGCCGGGAATCGAACCAGCACTGCAGAGGCTGCGGACAGCTTCACAGCACTGCGCTCAACCCGCTGCGCCACTGGGGAGGCCCCTGTCCATAAATTTCTAAACCACATTTCCAAATCCCAGTAATACCCTAGATTTTTTTTTTTCATTTTTGGGGGAACTTTGCACACTTGATATATTCATCCACGTGGGTAGGCCCTTTAATTTTGTTGAGTTCTGTAAGGAAAATGCATTATCTATGTGGTGGATCTGCTATATATGCAGACCTAACTTGATATATTGTATGAATTATTTGTTACTGATCAGCTTTCCAATTTACATCAATGCATACCTTATTGAGATTTCATTTGTTGTTTCCACAGATTTCAGGAAACCTCACTGTGCCTTGGATTACAGGGTGTTCTAGAAAAAGAGCAGTAAGTAATTTTTCATTTAAAGCAGTAAATGGTTTTGCTCTGTGTTGTTAAATGTCATTGAGAAAATTGTAAGGATATTGGTAAAGGAGGCAAGATTGAACCTCAATTAGATTGTATTTTCATCAGGAACAAACTTGAGATCATTATATATATCTATATATCTGTATATATATTACAAATATAACTAAATAAAATGCAGTAATCAGCACACTCTATAATCTTCGAAAATATTTTGCTGTTTTAAGAAAATTCAAAGGTAATTCATTAAAAAAACTACAATTTTTCTACATCTTATCTGCCCAGTTTATTTGATCATATACTTCAGTCATGGTTGTTATAAATAGTCAGCATTAAAGAATTCACATAACTATCTACCATTAATTCATTTTAGTGTTATGAGTGATGAGTAACTAATATTTTAATAATCTTACTTTTCTGGTTTTCTGCTATAGCTGTTGGTTTTTATAATGTTCATATAGCAGAACTTCATTACAATCGTTTTCTCAATGAGTTTTTTTTTTCTTCAGTTAGTCTGTGTAAGACCCACAAATCTGTATCTTAGCAAATGCCCCATGAGATTTTGGTTTAACTGTTCCATAAATGGGGAACTATTAAAGGATTTTTACCATAAAAGAGATATGAGTAGATGTTTAGAAAGATAATTCAAGTTACTGTGTGGAAGATAGTTTTGAGGATAATAAATCTGAAGCCAGAACTTCAGAAATAAACAAGATTGTATAAACTCCTCTCTCTTTTCCACATAGAGTAGAACTGCAAACCATGGAAGGAATACAGGGTGCCACCAAAGGAGAATTCTGAAAGGTGTAAAGAAAGCAAGTGGTTAGGGACTCTAGGACTTAGGTTGGGGACAAAATGCCCTGTTGCTCTAACAGAAAGTGATTCAGGCCAGGCATTTCTTGATCTGCAACCTAACAAGAGAAGGCGAGTTGGATAGGTTCATTCCTCCCAACAATGTGATGTGAGTCCCACAGACAACCTTAAGTAAACCTGGCAATATTGGTAAAGATCATTTGGAAACCTCAAAGGCAACACACAACTAAGGGAACTGCTCTCCTTCTTTGCTGGGGCTGAGATTCTCTTCCCTTACCCAGAGACACCAGATATTAATACCAACATCCAATAATACAACTAAAAGCAGCCTGATGTTAAAAATCTCTTTTTCCATGTAGGTCAGGAAACTGTTTTCTCCACCTAGAGAACAAGGTGCTTAGTTAACACCAGGAAGAGTGATTAAGATACCAAATGCACTCAGCCCAGGAAGTTCACTATCCATCCCTGAAGAATGGAGAATCTATTTTCCCACCTAGACACTGGTCTATTGGATGATACCAAGAAGAGGAAACTCCCCACAGTAATCATCTGAGTTGGAGAAGGTTTTGCTGATCCTTTACATGTTACTATCAGGATCATTGGAAGTCCAAGTGATGCCAGACAAATCAAGCAGATTAAAATAATGCCACAAATGTTCTGAAAATTAAAGTATCATGGGAACCACATTTTATAAAGTAGGTCAATACTTTTGTGCTAAATATAACTGGGTGACTTCCTGATTAAATTAAAAAGATTCCAATAAGAGCAAATATCTCCTAACATACTGGCCAAAATATCTAGACACAACTGAAAATCACCCATCATTCCAAGAACCAGAAAATTATAGCTTGAATTATAAAAAAAATCAACAATATTAATCAGATAGTGAAATTATCTGGAAAGAATTTTAGAGGATCCCTTATAAAAATGTTTCAATAAGCAATTACATATTATCATGAAACAAATGGAAAAAAACAGAAAATCTCAATAAAAGAATCAAATGAGAATTATAGAACTAAAATTTACAATAACTAAAATGAAAAATTTGCTGGATGACTCAATATTGAGTGGCAATAAGAGTATACAATTGGGGGCCTCAGCACTGTATTTAGGTCAATCTCCCTGTTCTGCTCTCCTCTCTGTCTCTGGTGAATCCTCTCACCTCCCACACCTCTGGCCTGTACCCCAGGTCTTATACGCATAAATAAACATTTTTTGTGGTACCCTCGCCGCCAGTGGCTGCGGATCAAACCTTCACTGCAGAGGCTGCGGGCAGCCTCGCAACCCAGCGCTCAACTGCCGCACCACCAGGGGAGGCCCCGCATAAATAAATATTTGTTAAAGAGCATATAGACTAAATGTATGTGAGGATAGGTTGAAAAAATTTACTTAATTCAAACAACAGAGAAAATAGTCTGAAAAATAAGAAAGAGCCTCGCAGTTCTGTGGGGCAATTATATATTCAAATATTTGTATAATTGGAGTTACATAAGAAGATGAGAAAGAAAATGAAACTGAAAGAATATTGAAAGAAATAATGACTGAAAACTTCCCAGGTTTAGATAATAACATAAATGTATAGATTGAAGAATCTGAGTGAAGTCTAAACAGGATAAATGCAAAAAATTGACACCAAACATTTCATAATTAACTTTTGAAAACTAAGCAAAAGCAAAAATCTTGAGTGCACCCAGAAAGAAATGATACATTAACTATAAGGCAACACCAATTCAAATAATATTGGATTTCTTATCTAGAACTCTGGAGGCCAGAAAGGAACTGGCAAACTTTTTTCACATGCTGAAAGAAGGTTGTCGTCATCTGATAATTCAATATTTGCCAAAAATATTAATCAGAAATGAAATAAAAGTGAAGTCATTTTGAGATGAAAGAAAGTTTAAGTCAGCAATCAAGAAATCCTTTTTCTCTAAATGAATGAATAAAGGAAATTCTTCACACAAATATATGATATAGAAGAAATTGGGGCAGCAGGAAAGAATAAATAACAATAGAAAGAAAAATATGCTTGTCTTACTCTTCATGTATTTTCCACCATATTTGATAATTGAAACAAAATTTGTAGTACTATCTGATACTCAAGCCTATTTAAAATTGGGGATGATTAAAGCACCTAAATAGAAACGAAGTTTCCATACTTCACTAGATATAGTGTACTAGTATCAATATTTTACTATAAATAATATCATGTGTGTTTAATAGCCAGAATGACCACCATAAACATTTTACAAAATGATAAACACTCTTAATATGATCAAGAACAAAATGAAATCCTAGCAAAATGTTCAAATAACACACAGGAAGGAAAGGGGAAACATAAGAATGCAAAGCATAAGATACAAAACAAATGATAAGATTACAGACTTAAGCCCTAACATATCAATTATTATCATAAATATAAATATGCCAAGAAAAATGTAGATATTTACATAGCGGAGAGCACAGTGGACTGTGGTGGAGGTCTATAGGTGCTTTGGTGGTGGGCACAATATGGTTGACTACACCTGAATGGGGAGATCCTATACTTCCAAAATACTAACATGTTTATAAACCAATGGTACTTCAATAGAAGAAATTAATTAGTTAAAAAATACATCCACTTCATACTGTTTATAAAAAATTCACTTCAAATTCAGTAATAGGTAGATTGAAAGTGCAAAGGTAAGGAAAATATATCATGCAGACATTAATAATAAAAACCAGGAGTGAGTGATTATGTTAATATCAGTTAAAATAAACCTGAGACAACAAGGATGTCTTGTAAAATTATCAATCCTAAATGTATACAAACAAAGAATCAAGACTTCAAAATACATGAATTAAAAAAACTGATAGAAAAAAGAGAAACAAATCCTCTAAAATTATAAATAGGAACTTCAACACCCATGTCTCAGAAACACATAGAAGTACTAGGCAGAAAATAAGGAAATAGAAGGTTTGAACAATGCAACCAATACAAACCATTTACAATATAGAACACTCCAACAAGAAAGTAGTACATATTTTTAATGGTCCCACAGTACATTAGACAAGATAGACCTTTTCAAAAATCTAAGTAAAATCTAAAAAACCACTTATAATCAGGGAAAAGCAAATCACAACCACAATAAGATACCACCTCACACCAGTGAAAATGACACATATTTTAAAAACTGGGAACAAGTGCTGGTGAGGATGAGAAAAAAGGAACCCTGTTACACTGCTGGTGGGACTGCAAATTGGTCCAACCACTGTGGAAAACTGCGTGGAGCTTCCTCAAATTACTGAAAATAGAGCTAACATATGACAACAAGTGCACTCCTAGAAATCTACCCAAAGGACACAAAAACATTAATTCAAGGGCCTCCCCTGGTGGTGCAGCAGTTGAGCGCTGGGCTGCAAAGCTGCCCGCAGCCTCTGCAGTGCCGGTTCCATCCCCGCCCGGCTGGCGAGTGTCCTACATGGCGTGCAGACCTCTCCTGCCTCCCGCTGCTCCCCTCAGCAGTGTTTTCAGTTCTGCCTGTTCTGCTCCCCGCCCTGGCTCTGGTAAATTCTCTCACCCTCCTGCACTTTTACTGTACCCAGTGCTTGTATAAATAAATAAATAAATCTTTAAAAAATTTTAATTCAAAAGGAAACCTGCACTCTGGCGTTTATTACAGCAATATTTACAATAGGTAAGATATGGAAACAACCTAAGTGCCCAAAAATAGATGACTTAATCAAGAAGATGTCATGTATATACACAATGGAATACTACTCAGCAATAAAAAAATATAAACTCATGACATTTGCAGCAACATAGATAGAGTTGGAAGGGATTATGCTCAGTGAAATAAGCCAGAAGGAAAAAGAAAATTATTGGATGGTTTCATTTATAGGAGGAATACAGGGGAACCAAATAGGGGATCGGGAAAAATTATAATTAATTAAAAAAATTAACAGGCCACTATAAATCAGATTTCTGCAGGGCAGGGAAAGGGAGAGTGAAAAAATGGGACCGGGTAGCACAAGGGACTATGGTGATGGTGCACAGGTGAATTGGTGGTGGGAATTTTACGGGGACCACATCTGAGAGGAAAGCATATATTGTACAAGAAGGAAGAATGATGTAAATATATATATATATATATATATCAATTAAAAAAATCAATTTACTTATTTCACTTACA